TTCGAGACCAAGCAGTGTCGGTTCTTGGTGCCCCTCAACCTCTGCAACGGTGTCTACAGGTTCGGGGACCCAACAACTGTCTCCAGCACTCCAAAGGAGCTGTCCTGGGTGACACGCGCTCATGGAGAGGGCCAGATGGTGACGGTGCYGCTGGTTCATAAAAGGTGAAGGAGGTTGGAGTAAACATTTCTTGGAGGATACTAGTAGCTGCACCTCCTTGAAGTTGACCAGTGCTGACCACTGAACCCCCACTTAGGTGTCTGCAGAGATATTTAGGGAGTTATCTGAGGAGGCATCTAAGGAAAACACTATGGATGGCACTCCAGTGGTTTAAGAGGGTCTCTTAAGCTTTAACCCCTTTTGTTTTTTCTCTTCTTACCCTGATCTGCACATAGGTTTTCTTTGCAAAGTCTGGGTTTCGAGCATTTCAAAGCTACTTGTGAAGCTGTTGGAGCTTTGAATAGACAGAGTATGTGCATGTGTGCATGTATATACTGATACATATAGTGATAAGCTGTGCTTAAAATCTAGTTAATAGGGTTTTGGATGTTGGATGCTCTGTAGTAGGTGCATCTGACCTTTGTTTTGTTATTTTCCTCATTTCTGCTGTGTGTGTGTGTGTGTGTGTATACATATACATACATTACTTTTTTATGTTACATGTAAGTATAATAAAGAACTAGGTCCCTCCGGGAGAGCTAGTTGTATTTTTTTGAGCTAAAAGCAGACCAGTGACTTAAATATTGATGAAGCTGACGACTCTCTGCCACATCTCTCATAGGCTTTATCAGGAAACTACAGGAAAGCTGTAAGCCTAGAAACCTTCTGAGATGTTTCTGAATTCAGTTCATTTACAGGGTGATGGACAGAAGTGGTCACAAGTAAATTTTGGTGGTCACAAATCCATTTTTCTTGATATTTTGGCTTGAAGTAACAAGTGGCTTTGCAGGCCGGCCTCTTAAGCTACACAGAGGAAGTGGGATCCACTAATGGGCTATGAGGATTTTGCCCTTTACATGAATCATGTGTCCTCTGACAAATTCTTCAAGTCAAGTTAGCCTGTTTTCTTCTGCACCCAGAAAGAAAACAAGCATTTAATTATTGGAAGGAGAGAGGAAAAATAGAAATTATTCTACTAATTGAGCGCTGCATCAGTGCAATTTTATTTGAGGAGCGCGGAGGCTGTGTGGCCAAAGATGTTATTTGATGCTTAATTGGAACGGACTTGATGTGACGAAGAATGAAATGTTCTCATGAAAACAAAAATAGCCTGTGAACTTTATCGCCATGCCAGGCAAAATGGAGCCTGCTTTTCTTTCCTTCTTCCCGTCTTTTTTTTTCACCCTGGCAGGATTGCAACTTGTGCTGTTGTATTTTTTTTTACTTTTGTTGAGATGCTGCACGTTAGCATCCTTAAACTGCATGCTTATTTAGATAGGCTAGTGATCCTTAAGTTTTGTAGACCATGTCTCCCTGAAAAATACTTAGATGTTGTCTTCTGTCAACACACAAGAGCATCTTCTGCAACTTTGGGGTGCAAGCCAAAGTTCTGCAAAGTCAACTCATCTTTAAATTCAGTATCAACATTGATGTTAATAATGCTTATTACGTCTGCAAAAATAAAGTGTTTTCCCATTTCTTGCCTCAAAAAAAAAATAGTCTTTGGCTTCCTCTGATGTCAAAAAGAGGCTGCAGATTTGTCTCCATCCCCATCTCTTGATCAGCGCTAGTGAGCTCTTTTATTTGTGTGGGAAATAAGATATCTTCCATGGCTTGTGGTTCTGGGGAGCTTATCGTTAGGTGCTTAATGTCCCAGCTTCTTTAGCTAGGCAGGGTGAGAAAGGAATACTTTCTCTAACAAACACTAATTAAAAAGCCTATTTATTACTCTATTGTGGTGAAAGAGGCCATCGCTTCTTCTCTTGCTGTGGTTTGAGGTGAAATATCTCTGTTTTCCAAGTCCATTCTGCTTCGGGCTGCCGGTCTGTCCGATCTTCCTTGTATTACCCTGTCAATGAGGATTCATTGAGGAGACAAATGTCTYCCAAGCATCGAGACACTTCATTTCTAACCGGAGAAAGTTAGCTCAGGCTCATTTTATGTCCAGGCTACACAGGTCTCTGGTCGCTGTTTTATTGAGGAGTTCCCCAAGCACCTAATTTCTGTTACCTTCTCATAGTTTCCAGTGAAAACACGGTGGCTTTTATGATAGCTGTTCCATTGCTGTGGAGCAACATTATATTTAAATTTTCAGCTTATGCTGAGCAGGCACTGAAAATCGTAACAGCATTTCATTAGCCTAAGTGGGACATGATGCTTTGAAATTGCTGCGTATGAAGTTCCTGTTTGCTAGCTTTGGAAAAACAGATTTGGGCATTGTGTTGTGTTATACTTCTGGAAGAATCACTATAGTTTTATTTATTTTTTATTTCCCCCAGCCAATATATTCGTTAAAAATTTTTGTTAAGCAGAAGAGTYATTAGGATGTAAGTGTTAAAGGAGCTTTTAAATCATTGATTAGAAAAAMATAATAGCTGAATTTTTAAGAATCCTTGTTAGCAAATGTGTCAAATCATGGCCTTTGAGTACTTTTTGTATAGAAAATAGGTATTTAAATGCTGAATGTATCGAAACAAGTGCTAATTGGGTGTTGGCTAAGTGTTATCCAGGCTCTGCACTGCTTGCTGTCATGGGAATTTCCCCTCTTTATCTTTCAATTAATGCTAATGACTTTTTGTGTTTTGCCATGAAGCGGGGAGCAATTGGAGCTTGGCGCAATTTTTGCCTACCCAAGGATGCCTAAAACCTTTTGATTTTCTCCCAAGCTCTAGGGCTTCCTGCCTGACACTCAACRTGAGTAGGTGTTGGTTTGCCTTGAGTTTGGTCTTGGTTTGACTTTGTGTGTGATTGCGTGTATGTATGACTGTGTATATATAGCCCAAAACATATAGTCATATATAAATAATGCTGYGTGTGAGTTATACTACTCTAATAAAGGAATTGAAGCCAACTAAAATAATATTTCAACTAAAGTAAAGATAGCAGATACTGGTGGTGGAATCCTAGTTCTTTTGRATGCTAAAAAGCCTGAGTATTATTATCATCATCATCATCATTTTGGTCCTGTGTACTGCTTTATGTCTGTGAAGATTTTGGCATTCATTTTGCCATGGGAATATTGGTGAATGTTTTCTTCATGGGAATTAAGCCGTAACTGGGTATTGTCAGTGTCTAATAGTCACGCTTAATCAGGTGAAAGTCTTAAAGAGCCCAAAGAAGATGTCATTTTGCCTGCCTATGGCATGCGATTTGCTGCACTCTCATATTTTTAGGAAATGGATATATTCCCTTTGAATTTATTCTGTATATATTTTGGGGTTTTTTTTCTTCTTTTTTTTTTTTCTACTGTTGCTCTTCTCCTTGGCAATTCTCCTGCAGCACGTTGCGTTTGCAGAAGGAAAATCTGCTTTTTGCCTATTTGGTGCTTTTCTATAAATAAAATGCCRTCTATAGGAAGTGTCTGGGTAAGTTTTTGGGCTTTTTTTCCATCTTGGCTGTTTGAGGGGTTTTGGTTCCTCTCTCACAATGGGATGCCAGCTGCACAGCCTGGCGCCGGGCCACTTCTTGTTTTCGCCATAGGGAGCAGCAGCATTCGGGAGTCTCGGCACTCAATGAGAAGCCTGACTCTAAAATCATTTTTGGCGTCGTGGTCTCGAGGATTTAGTGATGTTTTCTTGCAAGTCAGAGGTCRTTTGGAAGCATTAGCTACTTGTGATGTTTTAATCTGTCCCCAATTTAATACACATCTTCTGCATTCCTCTTCAGCGCGATCAACACAACGTTGTGTTCAACACAACCTTTGAGAAATCTCTGGTGTCAATGATGAACATGAAGTTTATTCTAACTTAATGTCGTACATTCTTCTCTTCTTCCCATCACCTTTGTTCTTTATGATAATATTTGAGTGTTTCTGCCCAGTTTGGTGTCTCTTATGTATTTGATGGGGCTGTTATCCATTAAGCTTTTGTAGAGATCTCCAAGTTTGCTTTTTTGAATTGATTTTGTGAAGTAGCGTTGACTAACCTGGAACTGTTAACCCATTCACCTTAAGATGTGCTGTAATAATAATCTGCTCCTTGCAATAGGAGTTTTGTTCRTAGAATAACATTGGATCCCATCAGCGTCATTGTAGGATCAGGTGATGCCTTGGCAAATTATTTTAGGTATTCATGCAAATGCTCAAGCCCAACTGTCCATTGTYCAAACTGAGATGGTCTTAAGGCTGAGAAGAACCAGTTAGACGCTGTGCTTGCTCTTGCCGAGCATCATCTGTAGGGGACAAGCCAGCCATCCCCAAGGTTTAGGGGATGGCATAGCAGTGAATATTGACAAGACCTTCCCAATTCCTCTGCAGTTTGGGGACAGGAGCAACGTTTTAGTAGACAAAACCAGCCTTGCTCTAGTAAGGTGAGAGACTCAAAGAAAAGGCATGGCGAGATATGAGCTGAAGAACAGCCATGGGTCAAAGTAAATTTCCCTCTTGATTACCACTGTGTTGTTCATGGGTGAATGTTCTTGGGGGTTAGTTCTCTGCCAAAATGAGCAATGTTACTCGGTGGCCTTGCTGTGTGCTATTAAAGACCTAAATCTTCTCTCCTCCAATATAAGAATTTGAGAAAGATTCACCTGGATGGGTGACATGTGAAACAAAATTCGCCTAGCACATTGCTTCTGGACTCTTTATTGATATGCTGCTAAGAAAAAACAGGAACTGAAAGCATATATAGGCAATAGTTTTCTTGAAGCTTTTTCTGAGTATATTATATGCTCCCTTTCATAATGYGTTTAATTTGTCTTCAATTTGTACAACTCTGGTGTGTTTAGTCATAGCTTAATAAAAGCACTGAACTATAGAAAGGATATGAACAAAATTCCCTATGTAAAATGGTGTCTCTATTTTTTTTTTAATTTAATTAATTAATTAATTTATTTTTTTGCAGATGGGAAGGTTGAAGTGACAAAAGAAGGGGTGAAGCTCTGCACCATGGGACCCGGCAAAGTATTTGGGGAGTTGGCCATCCTCTACAAYTGCACCCGGACAGCAACGGTCAAAAGTAAGCTTATTCTAGAACTTCTAGAACTACCAAATTTCTTAAGATTTTAATATAAGACTTCTTATTTCTAGCTAGGAGGCTGCATAAATATCTGCATAGGAAGCTATATATTAAAATACTTCAGCTTTATTCATCTGGTCCTGTATTTACAAAGCAGGCTACTATGGTGTTGAATTGAGGGTTGGTATTTAGAAGTGTATTTCACTCTTTGGACTTTGACAGAGCTGCTATATCCCAGCTTGAAGACGTTTTGTTTCAGTTAATTTTCCACCATCTAGTCCATAATGCTATTTCCCCTGCAAAAGCTTAATCTTCCAGATACGGTCGAAGGAGCATTTTTCATGCACAATGAGATAAGAGCAAAGAGAGCTCATCCCTTCAGGCTCTTGTTATTTTTTTTTTTTTTGCCTTGAAAGACTTTGGTTTGATTCCTTGCTCTGCCATAGCCTTTCTCTATGTCTCCCAAGCAGCTTCTTCCAGAAGAAGAAAGGRTGTCTACCAATGTTAGCCTGGGGAAGCTTAATAACCATGCCATCAGTGAAAAAGGAAAGAGACTGAGGCTTTGCTAGTCAACTGTGCTAAAATACTATCATCTAGAGGAGATAGTGTCAATTCTGAGTGATAGGTTTCACTGATTTAAGTTGGTTTCTGCAAACATCTCTATTGGACTTCTGATGTCTTGGTTTTCTTTAAGTAAAACGGGACCTAGTAGCAGTTTTGAACATCTTGAGCCCACTGGATGCCCATGATGTAACCACRTGTACATCTAGGCTGAGAGGGCAATGTAAGGGAGCTATGCCCCATGGCCAGAGGTCTTGGAAAATGATAGTTTTCCATGGAAGTTGAAGCATGGCTGAATTTGTCTTCAAAGTTGGTGTTGTGCTTCTCTTAGGCCACTTGTAGGGATGGATGAGAACCAGTCTGGGCAGGTAAAAGTTCTCCTTGCACCRTGATGGGTGTATGAGCCAGGCAACTCTAGATGGCCAGCAGTTCCTGCTGCAACTTCTGTGAACATTGTGAGCAAAAGCATGAGGTTCATAGTATGTGGATGGAAATTGTGTTACTGTGTAAAAAAAGAAATGTATTTTCATTTAGATTCAACTTACAAAGAGTGGAGATTTGGGAGGCATGGTTGGTACCACAGCTCTTGACCATGAGGTCAAGAGCTCCCAATGACACCTTAAGCAGGGAGCCTTTGTGAGATAAAGATGTGAGATGTGGTTGAAAGATACTGTAGTGGAGGAGATCCAAGGAAGCAGGTGGGATGGATGATGAGAATAATACAGAGATGCAAAAGTACTCTTAAAATGAGGCATAAGCCCCTGTTTGGAGGAAAGTACTATTTAACTWGATATTTTAAAAAAGAACTTGAGAAGTAAGAGAAGGAATAGTTAGAAATACTAACTCAGGAAGAGATAAGTGAATGTTCTTGCAAAGAACGTGCAGTTCTCCATCATCCTAAACAACTTGGCTGAGGGACTCTTTCCGCTTGTGTAAACTTTCTCTTCTAAAAGCACTATTCATGCAGGTTAGTCCCTGGCTGATCCATAGGCAATCCATGGACAGCTCAGTTTGTACTTTGGAGTAATCTGCAATCCCAGACATTGTGTTTTTGGCTAGATGAGGCAAATGTGCATGTGGTGCAAGTCGCATTGGGCTGCTCTTTTATGGGACACTTCATGGTCCCTCTCTTAGTCTGCTAAGAACTCAAGGCTACGAATGGGATGTAGTTATTGATCTGCTCCATCGTGCCCATACCCACTTCCCTGTAGGAGCGTTATCCACCTGGAAGTATACTYGGTATTTCTAAGCAAAATGTTGGAGGATTGGTGGTAATGATGAAATCACATGAACCTCAAGTTCCTGTTATCTTGCAGTTAAAGAAAATAGGAAGGAGGAGGGGAGAAGTTGGATTCCAAAGATAAGAAAAGGGAGATCATTAGAAGGTTTATTTGGGAAGAAATTTAAAAAAAAAAAAAAAAAAAAAAAACTCCAATGAAAATCGATACAGAGCCAACCTTAATACTGGGGACAGTTAAAGTTGTGTCACGGGGCATTGCCCAAGCGGTGACACTTCCAGATAGGGTTTGCTGTTTTATGGAAGCCTGATATCCATCACTTTTAGCGTGTCAGAAGTTGCCTGCCAGTACTTCCTTACCAGGGCTTTAAGTACTTCTCTTAAGAAATGAACTCCATGTGACGTCTGGAGGAAAGSTGTGTTCCCGTACCATGAAGCTGGATGGTGCCTCTGGCCATGCCGATGTACCAACCGTGTTGACACCAGTTTGCTGCTCTGCTTCACGTGTCCTCTTGCATCAGCTTCGTAAATAATGATGTTTTTAGCATTGCAGCACTTGTCTGTTCTGGCTCCTCAGCTGCTGCTCTCTGCAAAGGAGATTGTGTTTAAGGGGGGTAATTACTTTAGGAAGCGCTTTGCTTTTTAAAAGGAATTTAAGATTCTTGGAATTTTAATTATTCTTATCTGACTCCTTGTTTCGTTTTGCCCATTTATTACTATATTTCTATAATAATGATTATGGTCTCAAGTAAAAGGAGGAGTTGCCCAAGGGCTTGAGAAGAAGCTGCCAGACCTTCACTCTTACCTTTCCTCTTGATGTCGGTGAGGAAGGACACATCTCATGAAAAGTGGCTTCATATTCCAGACCTCTCCTAAAACATTTTCAGTGCCCTAATCATCACTTGCCCATTTTGAAACTCTCGCTTGGCCGTTCCCAAACGCTTGTGCAAGGAGTGTTTGCTCTCAGCTTGGAGACTCGCTGACTTTCTACACGTTGACTCTGCATGTACGGGAGTATGTGATGTCCAGAGGTCCCTTCCGACCTCAACCATTCTCAGGTACTCTGATTCCAACAGCTTAGAACAAGGTAGGAGGTGACTTGACTTATTCTTTGTTATGGATGAAGCATTTTGCAGCTAAAATGCTGCCTGTCATCCGCCAGGAGAGCTGTAATCTCCAGGTATGTGTCTCTACCGTGTATCTCAAATTGGTGTTGTCTCCTCTTCGAGGAAACAAGTTGAATGCCTTAAAATAGCAAAAGCTGCAAATTCATGTTCTGTATCGCCCAGAAATCACGTTGTTGCCTCAGAATGTGATCTGAGTGCTAAAAATAAGCCTGACTTGGAGTTTGGAGGGTATTTAATACTTCTGTTCAGGCTAGCTGTTTTCTCCCAGCCACACGTGCAGCTCACGATTGGACTGAACGTGCCTGTGAGTCTTTCCTGTATGATGAGAATCTTATATAAATTCAGCATTTTATCTTACTTCTTGCCTAATAATACTCCACTTGAAAAAAAAAATCCCCTCTCTTGAAGGGGGGGTGGAGCTTTGATAAAACACTGGCAGCCTCTGCAGAGATAGGCACAAGATACCGATCCGAAAAATAATAGAGGCGAGGGGGAAAGAAAGCACAAGCTGAAGCTGTTAAGTTGCAAATTAAGTAAATCCTTTTTACCCAATTTAGCTTTTTGCACAGCTGATGTTGCAAAAGTCGCCGCCACACAATGTGTTTAAGGGGACAGGCGGTGGCTGTCGCAGTCGAGCTTGGATAAGTTTGATTTTTTTTTCCTAATTTCCACCCCCTGCTTCTATTTTTATGCAGCCGTACRGCAGTCCCTGGCCAGCCTGCTTGCTGCAGCCACAGCAAACAGGGTGGCTTTGCAAGCAGCTYGTTGACATTGATAATTGGCGAGGAAAAACAAGGCAAGAGCGTGGCGGATGCCAATTAAAATTGCTCTTTGCGAGCCCTTGGGTAGCGATGCTGCCTCTTTTTTTGCTCCCAGTGATTACAGGTCTGAGGTAGACTCAGATTTTAAAGCAGCCAAGAAAACCCCAGGAAGCTGTGGACATTGGGCCGTTGAATCTAATCTTTCTGATGCTGCTTAGTTAGGAATATTAAATTCAGAAACTGGAGAGGTTGCAGGACGGTCAGAAGAACCTGGATGCATGTGTCGGTGAGGAATATGTGGGAATATCCTTGGAGAAAGTGCTGTAAGCGCTCCCTCCTGCTCCTTGGAGCAGTCCTCACCTGTGAAACCGCAGCGRTCTGGATGCAGATACTTCGACTAAATCAGCGTTATACATTAAATGCAATTTTAATTAGAGTTTCTTGCCCTATCCCGGCATGCGGTTTGACTGGAACAGGAAATGGTGGCCTGGTGGGACTTGACTTCTGCGCATTGGGGTCTGCCAAGGGTGGGTACGTGGCCCGCTGGTATCACGTATCCCGTAATCAGTGGGATTCCCCGGGGATCGGGTACATCTGCGTGGCTCATCCCTGCTCCCGGCTATGCCTTAATGACACAGCCGGGGCTCAAATCACTCATCCAGCCGCTTCCCACCAGCGGGATGTCATGGAGACCCGTTGCTGAACGCTACGCAGCTAAGGCAGAAATATTCCCGCTCGAGGGCTGGAACACCAATTAATGCTATTAATTAGGGTAATTTCATGATAGAGCAGCTCGGTACGGGCAGCCTCCAGTGAGAACTGCCTGCCTGAAGATACAGGGATTAAGCAGACCCGTAGGCTTTTTCCTGGGAACGCAACAAGGGGGAATTTGCTTATTCCTCCAAAGGGGAAAAGAGCAACAGTGAAAGTGCTGTTGAGGACAAGGGACGGGACGTAGCTGAACTCTTATTTTTTATTTTTTTTAACAGCACTCGAGAGGGAGCCTAATCAAAGGGAGAATAGTTGGAGATGGGAAGAGAAAAATGAAAAATTCATGCGGCACCTGCCCCTGCTGTCTACCCAAAACGCCTCCAGGCTTATTGAACTTGATGGCCAAAATAGAGCTGGTTATGGAAATGAGGGGCGGGGAAAAAAGGCTTCTTTTTGGCCCCCCAGGAATTGAACAACCATGGAATATAGGGGTCCAAGGTCTGGTGTTATGGGTCATCCTGGTAGGTGGCACTCAGTAAAGGCTCTGCTTGCACACCCGTGGTGCAAGAGCCTGATTTCACACTCCATATATTAAAAAATATA